GAATATAATGAACTTGACTGGATTTCAAACTTGGCTCTCGAATTCCTCAGTACGAGCTGCAATCCATTACTCTTCTATGCCTTAGTGAGTTAATTAATAAGACTTTTATCACTAAACCATTATTATCTCAAAATAAATTTGTGCAATCTTAAAATATTTTATGGCTAATAAATAACTTGCTATGGGTTGATAAGCCATAGAAAATGAATAAATTAATCATTTTTTGTTCATTAGCTGTGAATTGCCATGACTACTTGAGAAAGATGGCCAAGTTCCCAACCTTTGTGGCCTTTTTCCACAGTAGTCCTTCTTAATAGCTGACCCCCAAATCTAGAAAACCCAATTTCCTCTGCTATTTAATCTATAGCTATGACAGAAATGATGGATTCATGCCTTTTCCAAGGATATTAATACAAGTGAATGCAACAAACTAGAAAAGAATTTGAACTCAGCTCACTGGTTCCATAATGCTAACTGCAAATATTAAACTAAAAAAGCTGCTATTATCTTATTTTCCTTTGTTATGGAACGAAAAAGAAAAAAAAATTAAATGAAAGGAAGAAAAGAAAAGGAGAACTAAACAAAAAAGAAGAGAAGGAAAATGTAGTGGAAAAGAGGAGAAAAAAAGGAGAATGAAAAGAAGAGAAATGGAAAGAAAGAGAACAAAGAAGAAAAGAAAAGGAAGAGAGTGGAAGAGAAGAGATGGAGAATGTAATGGAAACGAGGAGAAAAAGAAAAGAAGAGAAATGAAAAGAAAAGAGTACAGAAGGGAAAAGAAAAGAAGAAGAAAGAGTACAAAAGAGAAGAGAAATAAAAAAAATGGAAACGAAAAAAGAATGGAGCAAAAGAGGAGCCGTGGAGAATGTAGTGGAAAAAAGGAAAGGAGGAAAATGGAAAGAGAAAACGAACAAAAGAGAATAGGGTCTGTCTATATTTCTGAGATGAGGTATTATGTACAGTATTTACATTAATCGGACTATTGTCCTCATCTTTGTCGCCATATTTGTCAACAACAAAGAGAATAGAAATGAAAAGAATGGAAAATAAAAAAGAATGTAGTGAAAAATGAAATAAAAGAACGAAAAAGAAGAAAACAGAATGGAAAAGAAGAGATGGGAAATGGAAGAAAAAAGTAAAGAAAAAAATGAAAAAGAAAAGAACAACCGAATGTAATGAAAATGAAAGAAAACCATTTCTTTCTTTCAAGACAGAGCAAGTCTCATTCCTAAGACTCTCTTCTAAGGAGAGCCAATTATCATACACAATCCAATGGAAGAAAATTTGGCTTAATTCAAATTTCATTATTCCAAACATTGATGCTCTTATTCATATTTTACAATGAGACTAAGATTTGATATTTTCAACTCATGAACAATATCAAGTAATAAATTCTTTAAAACATTCTCTTCATGCAATGCCCCCTTAAAGATGTGGGTAACAATCACTCTTTTGTTGCTTCTAGGTCCCTAATAGCACATCTTTGTTTCCATGTTTCTCCTTCCATTGACTCCAACTTGTCAAATTTTCCCATGGATCTTTTGTTTTCAATGTTCCCTGTGAATGTCAAACTTGCCAAGCCTTCCTTCCTCAATATTCATTCAAGAAATTTCAGTTGCCTTTTTCTAATTGCTAGCAGCAATTTGTTCATGGTTCCTATTGTCTACAGTTGTTGATAAAAACCACATCTCTGTTGATTCAAGTTTTTTTTTTCTATCTATGAAGGAATTGTCCAGTATTTACTGGATGGGAAGTCAGACATTACACAACAGTTGAGCATACTTTTCTTTATTTCTAAGAACATGATTTCATTGTTTACTACTGTTTCTTTGTTCTGTTTTTCGAAAAAGAAACCTATTTTCTTGAAAAATTGCTCTCATAGAAAGGTTTTCATGAATTTCAACTGAAAGTAACACTGGATGCTTAATAAATAAATGCTGAATGTTTCCTTATAAGGAAATGGCTAATAATGTCATTACCATTAGAGATAAGGGAAACAGATACTAAACTTTGACCCCAACACAATGGCCAGAGAATTAAAAAAAGCATTACTTGTGTAACAATGGTTGCTTGGCCAACGAATGCTGAATGTTTCCTCATAAGGAAATGGCTAATAACATCATTACCATTAGAGATGACGAGAACAGATATTAAATTTTGACCCCAGCCCACTGAATTGAGAAAAGCATAACTTGAGTAACAGTGACTGCTTGGCAAATGAATGCTGAATGTTTCCTTATAAGGAAATGTCTAATATTGCCATTACCTTTAGAGATGAAAAGAATAGATACAAGACTTAGTCTTGACTTCCCACCTCATGCTGGCAGGATGTGGCACAAGGTCAGTTTAATGTGAGGAGCCCGAGCGAGTGTACCTGGGCCAGGTCCTAAAATAATCCAGCCCTTGCAAGCATCAGTTGCTCTATCATCAGCATTATTACCAATCCTACCTCTTTAGAGCAGATACTACACTTTGATCCCAGCTCAATGGCCAGCAGTGGCTTCTTGGTCAATAAATGCTGAATGTTTCCTTATAAGGAAATAGCTAATATTACTGTTAACATCTAATAGTTCTTTGTGTTTTTCTTTTGAATTTGTCACCAACACAGTTTCAGGTTAAATAAATCAGCCCAGAAAATGCATTCTTTTTTGAGTCTACATTGTGTATTTATGTATTCACTAAACTAATTCTTGCATTTTCTCACTGGATATTTTCAACCTTGATAATGAGACCTAAGATAACTAGAAAACGTACTAGACACTGATGACACTGTGTTGAGGTCAGACTCAAAAAGGTAACCTAAGCCTTAGATAAGGTAATAATGGAAAGCAAGAAGAAAGGACTAACTGTTAATTGTAAGAAGACAGAATGGATGGTCATCAGTAAACGCTACGTATTGTGGATGTCAAGATCAAACAGGTGCAGAAATTTAACTATGTGATTTGTGTAGGAATAGCAAAAGTTGCCTTCCAGAAATTAAGTATAGTATTAAGAGATATGGAGAAAAAAAGGAATTCAGTAAAAAACACGTTTCTGTTGCTTAAAGTCTCTTCTACATCTGAGGAAATTGTTCAGCATTCACTAACATGTAGTGAGACTGATATTACAGAACAGTTCAGTACTCTTTTCTTTGCTTCTATAAAATGTTTCTTCATACTTTGTTTAGCTTTTGGAAGGCATCTTTTGCTATCCCAATGCATCTTCAAATTTTAACATCACACTTTCCATCCTCTTTCAAAACACTTCCTAAATATTTAAATTGTTTTAATTATTTGATTTCAGTATCATCAATTCATAATTTGCATGTTGTGCTGTTCCTTTTGTTAACAACCATGCATTCTATCTTCTTGCAATTGATGTTTAGTCCTTTTTCCTCACTTTCCTTCACTAACTTCTCTAGGAGTTCTTGTATTTTCCTATCTATGTCTGCTAGCAACACTGTACCATCTGTATATCTTATGTTGGTAAGATTGGTAATAGTAAATCCTGGTAAGACTTGTAATTCTCTCAGAATCACTTCACTGTATAGGTTGAATAAGCCTAATGAGAAGACATTTCTTTGTCTTACACATCTTTCTATTGTTGTATGTTTACTTAATTCATTTTCTCTCCATAAGCAAGCAGTTTGCTCACAGTATAAAATCTGGTTCATCCTAATATCCTTCCCAAATAAATCAAGCTTACCTAGTAGTTCAAGCAGTTCTTTGTGATGTATGTTATCAAATGCTTTTTGCATAATCTATAAAAGATTTAAATTTTGTATATTTGTAATGAATGAATGTGAAGAAAAGAAACTTATTTTGACCCGAACCAAATAAGAAACCTGAATTCAGTTCCAGTAACTGTTCATAGAAAACTTCTTTTTTCTTAATTATTTCAACTATAAGAAGGATTTGGTTAGGGTCAATAGATTATCAAAAATGGAACATTTACAACAAATAGATTTGATGGAGAGATATATTGGTGAATAGAGTCCACTCATACAAATGTGTTGGGCAGGCCCATTCTAGTAAAGTAGACTAACCCACCCGCTGTATTAGGTATTCTCCTATAAATGAAGTAGAAATGAGGTACACTGCCTTTACAAGGAGACAAGTAGGCAGCCATGTTAGAAGGTAAGTCATTTGACTTCTACATATATCAACACCTTATGGGTCATTCAGTGCTGAAATTTCTTGGAAGGTTTGGTAACTTTTTTTTTTCCTTTTAAAATCTATTGCATTCTTGCATCTATTATGTTGATGTCAGAGTGATAGAAGTGACACCAAAGTCTTGAACTTCTCACACAGGTGTGAAAAAATTTTGGATTCAAGTTGGTGCCAGCAGCCAAATGTAGACATTTTAAAACTAAAATTAAAAAGTATTTTATTTATTTGTAATATCTAATTTTAGGTGTATTTGCAAAATAAAAACGAAAAGTTATGTTTCTTCTTTCTTATCGCTGCCTTTGTTGCAAAAAAAAATAATGTATCCCTTTGCACACCACTGGATTTATCCTTCCCAAATAAATCAAGCTTACCTGGTAGTTCAAGCAGTTCTTTGTGATGTACATTATCAAATGTTTTTTGCATAATCTGTAAATAAGAGGTACACTTCCTTCTGCTTCTCTTTAGAAATCAAAATAATTTTGAAATATGAAAAACAATTAGAAAACCTCCTGTTTCATACAATAGTCCCCTGATGATCCCAGAACAAAAAATATATGATAAGAAATGATTAAATTATGATTAAAAATCAAAATAATATTGAAATATTAAAAACCTGTTGTTTGACACACTTGTCCTCTGATGACCCCAAAATGAAATATATATGATTATAAATGATTCAAATCTGATTACAAATCAAAATAATGTTAAAATATAGAAAAAAATTTGGATATGGTTATTTGTATTCTTTGCCAAAATATCAGTCTTTTTGGAAAATATGTTACTTTCAAGTATTTTCTTCTTTTTTTTTTCTCTCTTAATATTTACTTAAATTTTAATTTTTCTTTATTCTTGCAGGCTGGAGGAAGAGACTTGCTCAAACGCAGTATGAAAGGACTTGTTGATAATATAGAAATTGAGGTAAAATTTTAAATCCTAAAAATGCTTGTAATTTTTTCAAAAGAAATTCATATAAAAAAATAGCCCCTAAAATTTTCTTAATGAATCAGAGTTCATCTGAGTCCTATAACTCAGCAGGGTTGTAGGAACCGCACATGTAATGTAGATGTAATAGAAGTGGGCATGTCAAAGGCAAGATAACCTATCACAGTTCAACCCACTGGGAAAACTGAGAAGAGTCATTGAAATTTCAGTCTTTGTTCCTGCTATTGAAACTCTTCTTTGTCTTAATTATGTTGTTGAACATTTCTTTGGCCTATCCATTTTTCAACCCTATTCTATTGCCTATGACATTTGAGAAGCATCATTAACACTAAATGTTTTGTTTCAACATCACCCTCCTCATGGCTACTAATTGACCATGGTTAATGTTGTAACCTCGGAAAGGTTACTGAATAGAATAATCAAATGAAAGTTGGTAATGAACAATAATACTTAGGACACAAACAACACACATTAGATTCACTAGCAGTGCGTAGAAGTAGTTAACTGCCATAGGTGAGTCAATCTACAACTGCAGACCAACATACAGTATTTACTACTGTATTTATATGAATGGGGACTGTATTTATATTACTGGGGATTGTTGTAGCATACCTATTGTCCATAGGTATTCTACAACAGTTAAATTTCATTGACTTAAATGCTCAACAAACAGAATTGACAATGTTTCCAATAAACAATAACAAAGAAATGAACAGTTCAAAAATAAATCTAAGCAAAAAATATATGCAAGGCAAAAGCAGGCAAAACAACAGTAATAAGACAAAAAGGTTCACAAAATAAGAATGATGTTAAAACAGAAAAGGGACACCGAAAAATGATCACAGCATTCTGACTTCAAGACAAGAAAGAATAAAAATATGATGAACAAAACCAAGAAGTGGTTTGTCTTATTGGCTGGAAAGAAATCCCAGCATGCATTTGTCTGTAAATGTAGGATGTTTTTACAGTCATTCCTATACAGCAGTGATTTCCAAACCATTTTTCTCTGGGCTGCATTTTCTGAATGAAAATTTGCTTGTACCTCATCAAATTTTACATGATAAAAAGAACATTAAAAAATAAAAAAACAGAAAGAGGGTTAAAGGGAGATAACCACGGATACAAAATCAGAACATTATCATTGATAACTCTCTCCTCCAATTTGCGGACGCTAGTTACTATATTATTACTACTTGATATAATTAAAAAATATCACAATGATAAAATCAGTCAATAATTATTTATAACTATTTATGCTGGGACTCATACATACAATTACAAGTAATCCATAATAATATTTTAAATCTTGAAATAATTATTTTTGGCATATGAATTTTTTTAAACTGTTTCTAAATCTTTGATTGTTTTTCAATCATTCCACCTCACCTGCTATCCTCTTCTGCCACACCTATGAGGCACTCCACACTGTTTGGGAATTACTGCTGTACAGAATTAGAACCAGCAGTGTCACTGATATTATGATCACCATGTCTCTGTCATTGCAATTTAGAAGCATCTCTCTTCATACAACAAATTTCTGTATTTCTATGAATTAAAATATTCAAATAAAATCTTCCCCAACATGCCAACCATTTCATTTCATCCTGCCAAAGCAATGCAAATAAAGAAGATCATGTACTGCTAATGATATAACTCAGGAGAATCTACTTCAAATATGGGAATGTTTCTTAATTCCTTTCTGACTGAGCAAAAGAAAACCGTTTCACATTGGAATCTATATGGGCTTAACCTAAACAATTAGCTAAATAAACTGATAGAAGCTACCCACTTTAATTTTCTCAGTTTCCAGAAGTGTTTCTTGTCAGTTCTCTGGACACCATCTAAAAATCTGAGTTCTTTGCAGAAAGTGTCCACCACAGCAGATTGTTCTACTTTGGCAATGGCTTTTTGACATCACCTTAGTCTAATTTAAAGGCAATGGCTGGTCTTTTTTATTTCTATGTTCACTCTGAACAAAGCACAAGAGCCACTCTAGGTAAAGGGTTATTTATTTTTCTACCTGTTCTTTAGCAATGGCTTTTTGAACTCACCTTAGTCTAATTTAAAGGCAATGGCTGGTCTTTTTTATTTCTATGTTCACTCTGAACAAAGCACGAGAGCCACTCTAGGTAAAGGGTTATTTATTTTTCTACCTGTTCTTTGGCAATAGCTTTTTGACATCACCTTAGTCTAATTTATAGGCAATGTCTGGTCTTTTTTATTTCTATGTTCACTCTGAACAAAGCATGAGAGCCACTCTAGGTAAAGGGTTATTTATTTTTCTACCTGTTTTTTTGGCAATATTTTTTTGACATCACCTTAGTCTAATTTAAAGGCAATGGCTGGTCTTTTTATTTCTATAAGAAATCTGAACAAAGCACAAGAGCCACTCTAGGTAAAGGGTTATTTATTTTTCTACCTGTTCTTTGGCAATGGCTTTTTGACATCACCTTAGTCTAATTTAAAGGCAATGGCTGGTCTTTATTTCTATGTTCACTCTGAACAAAGCACGAGAGCCACTCTAGGTAAAGGGTTATTTATTTTTCTATCTGTTCTTTGGCAATGGCTTTTTGACATCACCTTAGTCTAACTTAAAGGCAATGGCAGGTCTTTTTATTTCTTTTTTACTTTAATATTCACTCTGTACAAGGCACGTAAGCTATAGGGTTAGTGGTAAGAGGCACAGTTTATAAGGATACATGGGGAAGATAACAGTTAACCCTAGGTTTAACAGGTTAAGATTGTAGTGATTAGGGAAGCATCCTCTTGGGACTCAGTTCCACAAAATAGCAGTTCATGGGAAGAACCTGTTCAGTGGGAATTTACATCTTAGCAATGGAGTACAAAGGTAATGAGGGTGGTCTTTCTACAGTTTTCTGTTGCATATCAGGCTTTATCCATGAAGGTTAGAACTGGTGAAACTAAGCAATGTAATTTGTCTGAACACTTTCCATGGACACTATTTACATTGTTTGGACTATCATCCCCATCTTTGTTGCCATATTTATCACAATGTTTTAGCCGTTGTATACTTCGGTCTTCTTCAGGTGGTTGGAATGTCAAACTGAACCTTTTAATTAGATCAAGGACAAATGGCCCAGTGGATAAAGGTGTTAGTTAGAACCGGTGACAGGTCCCAAAGAGTGTGAGTTTAATACCTTGTTAAGGTGGTGGAGAACTTAGAGAAGGGAATTAACTGGTGATAACTGACAACTGACATCCATTAGACATGGCACAGGGAACTAGAACAGTCTAATAAGATATGCTGATGACACAGTGTTCATAAAAGACACTAAAAGGTAGCATCAGAAAGATAGAGTTGAAATTTTTAGGGCATAAAATGAGGAAAGAGGGATTAGAAAATTTGATACTCACAGGACATATTGAAGGCAAGAGAGAGAAAAGCATCTCATAACCTACCTATGAGTTTGTGTAAACAGATCATAGAACAGGGTTTATTGGCCAAATAAGAAACAAGTAGCAAACTTTATTTTTTTTTTAATCATTTCACCCCTAAGGCAATAAAGCCATTAGGATACAAGGAGTTTCTGACTGTTAAAGAGAGAAGTAGAAGTCCTACCTGGATTCATTATTGGGAGCATAATCTTAACATAAAATATGCAGATGAGACAATGTTGATAGTAGACACAGAAAGGAAAATACAGTCACTCCTACAGTAGGTAGTGAAGGAGTTCAAGAAAAAAAGGACTAAACATAAATTGTAATAGGAGAGACTGTATGGTTGTCAGCAAAAGGAATGGCACATCATGTAAATTACAAATTGGGAATACCAAATTCAAGCAAGTACAATAATTAAAATATCTGGCAAGTGTTTGAAAAGAAGATAAAAAGCATAACACTGGAATCCAAAGGCACATTGAGATAGTAAAAGATGATTTCCAATTTCCAAACGCTAGGCACTGCAAGAACCCTGATATTATGTGACTGTTGATCAGAGCAGCCTCTCAAGACACTATACAAGAGTTCAAGCTCCTAAGTACCAGCTCTGTCCTGGGTAAAACAATAAACTACATCCAGCATCAAGGCCTCTGATCAGGATGTTTTGAGGAGTGTGGAACCACCTCTTAATTGCTGGTGTTCTCAGGTGCACCCTGACCTGGGGTGGTAGCACTTGTTAGGGTCCCAACTATGGGCAAATAATTAACCCTGAAACTGGGGTAAAAACACTATGAAAGTGTAAAAATAGGTTTTAATACCAGAAATACTTTGTAAAAATTTATTATCAGCAATAAATTTTTGAAGAAAAAATATTACCAACAATACTTTTTTGAAAAAAATATTACCAGCTATATATTTTTGAGGAAAAAAATATTACCAGCAATATTTTTTTAAATTAAAAAATTATTACCAGAAATAGATTTTTGATAAAACAAAATATTACCAGCAATAAACATTTTTTGCCATTAAATAATGCATTGAGGTTGATATGCCATAAAATAAACCAAACCAAGTGAGTAATTTTTAAAAAAATTTTACGAAAATAAAACCATCCAAGATTGTAAATTTCCTAAAAGAATTTGGAATGTACTCAAAAATATGAGTAATTGAAAAATGGTTCAAATATATATGTATACATACACATCTTTTTTACCAAACTATGAATCTATTTCAAAATTTTGTTGGCATTAAATGATCCACTGAGGATGCCATAAAACAAAACAACCAACCAACCTAAGTACCTGCTGGGAAGAGCAACCAGAAAACTACCAACTTGGTACCCTGAGCATGAAGAGATGTTGCCACTCACCACACATCTCAGAAAAAATTTATCAGAATTTAAGGCTTAAGAAAAGGAAAGAAACCAGAACTCCCTTCCTAAACAGGAAACAAGGGATGAGTCTCTACTCTTGTTCATGAGAAAGGGATAGAGTATGGAATGGATGATAGGAAAGACTAGCTACTCTGATTAAAAAAAAAAAAATTAAAAAAATAATCTTGGATTTGACTTCCAATTT